CAGCACAGGGCACATCCAGCAGATCCAGCTTTTCCAGCGGGCGGGGGGCTTGAGGCAGCCCCACGAAGCCGGGGGGATCGGGGCGACCCCACAGGCACGCTGCTCCTGGCGTTCCCTCCTGGAGGAAGGCAGGGGCTGGCAGAAGAAAATCCGTCAAACATTTAAAACCCCTAAGACATGTAAAAGATGTAAAACATACATGTAAAACCCATAGAACGTGTAAAACATACATGTAAAACCCACAAAACACTGTGCTGCTTTAGTGTGTGGGTCTGGGCTTCACATGAGGGCATGGTGAGCTCTCTGCACAGAGCAGGGACACAAAACAACTCCTGCTCCAGCTGGGACCAAGGACAAATGACCCAAATCTCAGCCCAAGAGCTCAAACAGCGTGGGATGAAGAGAGAAAAACCAGGATGGGAGCGCACAACCTAAAGGTGTAATTGGACAATTAACTCCAATATGCAAATGGAGCAGAGCTTATAGAAGTGACAGACCCGTGTCACAGTGGCTGTCTGTGTTTCGGGACAGGGACGTGGTGGCCTTCGCTGGGCAATTCCTTTTTGTCCCAGCTGCCTTGGGAGGGCTGATGGATGATGCTTGTCACGGAGGGAGCAATTAAATAGATGAAATAAAATAATTCTATTAAGTATGTTCAATAAAAGAAATTTATTAAAGATAAGAAATATATTAAATAGATGCAATAGAGTCAGTAGATTCAATGGATTCAATATATTTTTAAATATATTTTATATATTTTAAATATGTTTTATATTTTTTAAAATGTGTTTTATAGATTTTTAAATATATTTTTTATATTTTAAATATATTTTAAAATATATTTCAAAATATATTTTTTAAAATATTTCAAAATATATTTTTTAAAATATTTCAAAATATATTTTTTAAAATATTTCAAAATATATTTTTTAAAATATTTCAAAATATATTTTTTAAAATATTTCAAAATATATTTTTTAAAATATTTCAAAATATATTTTTTAAAATATTTCAAAATATATTTTTTAAAATATTTCAAAATATATTTTTTAAAATATTTCAAAATATATTTTTTAAAATATTTCAAAATATATTTTTTAAAATATTTCAAAATATATTTTTTAAAATATTTCAAAATATATTTTTTAAAATATTTCAAAATATATTTTTTAAAATATTTCAAAATATATTTTTTAAAATATTTCAAAATATATTTTTTAAAATATTTCAAAATATATTTTTTAAAATATTTCAAAATATATTTTTTAAAATATTTCAAAATATATTTTTTAAAATATTTCAAAATATATTTTTTAAAATATTTCAAAATATATTTTTTAAAATATTTCAAAATATATTTTTTAAAATATTTCAAAATATATTTTTTAAAATATTTCAAAATATATTTTTTAAAATATTTCAAAATATATTTTTTAAAATATTTCAAAATATATTTTTTAAAATATTTCAAAATATATTTTTTAAAATATTTCAAAATATATTTTTTAAAATATTTCAAAATATATTTTTTAAAATATTTCAAAATATATTTTTTAAAATATTTCAAAATATATTTTTTAAAATATTTCAAAATATATTTTTTAAAATATTTCAAAATATATTTTTTAAAATATTTCAAAATATATTTTAAAATATATTTGAAAATCGATACCAAAATGCATTTAAAGCTGATGGATGATGCTCGTCACAGAGGGAGCAATGAAGTATAGTAAATAAATGAAATATAAATAGACCAACTACATTAAAAATATTTTAAAAATATTAAAACAAAATACAAATAAACATTAAAAAATATTAAAATATATTCAATAGATGAAATATACTGAATACATTCAATAGAATAAATAGATTAAAATAAATTTTTTTTAAAAAAAATCTTAAAATCTATTTAAAAATATATTCAAAAATCTCTTCTAAACCGCATTTAGAGCTGATGGATGTCCTCGAGCGCTGCTGTCACCTCCGTCCCTCCTCAGCCTCGATTTATCTGCTTTACAGCCGGCACCATCTGCGGCCCCACAAATGCAATTATGGGGGGAAAAAAGGGAAAATCGGAGCCTCCCCGCTCCCAAATTTCACCCCAAGCTCGCACAGGAACCCGGAGTTGCTCCCCGCGCTCCGGGGACCTCCCTTTGCAGCGGGGTTTTTGTAATTTTAGGGGTAATTACAGGAATTTGCAAGGCTGATTTTCTCATTTTGTCCCCCCTCCCCCTCCTCCTCCTCCAAAAAAAAAAAAAAAAAAAAAACCCAACAAAAAGCAGGGTGAAATTGAAATTGATCTGCCGAGCTGGCCAGAGGTAATTTAATCAGAAAAACCTCTCTGCTGGCATTAATTTTGGGGGTTTTTTAACCCCAAGGTCCTAAATTAAACATGAGGATGTTGGGGTGGGAACAGATTCCTAAATTAAATTAAATGGGAGGGGTTTGGGGTGCGAATGGATCCTAAATTAAATTAAATGGGAGGGGTTTTGGGTGGGAATGGATCCTAAATTAAATTAAATGGGAGGGGTTTTGGGGTGGGGAGGGATCCAAAATAAAACAGGAGGGTTTTGGGGTGGGAATGGATCCTAAATAAAACGGGAGGATTTTGGGGTGGGAACGGATCCTAAATTAAATGGAATTGTGTTGGGGTGGGAATGGGATCTAAATTAAACAGGAGGATTTTGGGATGGGGAACAGGCCCTAAATGAAATTAAACAGGAGGATTTTGGGATGGGGAACAGGCCCTAAATGAAATTAAACGGGAGGGGTTTTGGGTGGGAATGGATCCTAAATTAAATTAAACGGGAGGATTTTGGGGTGGGAACGGGTCCTAAATTAAATGGAATTGTGTTGGGGTGGGAATGGGATCTAAATTAAACGGGAGGATTTTGGGATGGGGAACAGGCCCTAAATGAAATTAAACGGGAGGATTTTGGGGTGGGAATGGATCCTAAATAAAATGGGAGGATTTTGGGGTGGGAATGGGAGCTGTGGGATGTCAGCTGGAAATCCAGAACCTCTCCCCAGCCCCTATGGAGCAGAAAATGATAAAAATGTCATTTACAACCCACCCAATTCCTTAATTAATGCCTGTGCCAGGGCTGGATCCCCTCTGCTCGGTGAAATTCCATGTGGAGTAAGGGAACTGAAGCCGCATTTCTATTTTATTTTGGGGTTTTTTTTCCTCCCAAAGTTCACTTCTCCTCATTACCCTGCACGTCCAGGTGCTGATTTATGGTTTTAATGGGAATTTTTTGAGGTAAATCCCAGCGAAGCCTGGAGCTGCTGCTGCTTCCCTGGCTCTGGAATTGTGGAAAATCCCCTGGGAATGTCCAGCAGGCTCCGGCCCCTTCCCGGCGCGGTCAGCGGAGTGTGACATTCCTGGCATTGTCACCCGGGCCGGGCTGGGGGTTTTCAGAGTCCTTTTGGGAGCCCGCTGTGCCCCAAAAACTCCTGTGTGGGATCTGAGGAAAATCCCAGGTCTGAGCCCGGCTTTGCTGCCCCAGCCCAAGCCTGGCTTTGTCACCTCCTTCAGGGACAGCTGGCACCGCTTTGGAGCTGGGATGTGGCACCACAGACACCCCCCAGGAGCCTCATGATTTTAGATTTATTTATTATTGATTATAAGTTAAAAAAAATAATAATATATTTGTGATCCTGCAGGTCTTTAGTGCAGAACTCTCATCTCCGTTATTGTGTTCACATTTTGGGCAGACACAACAATTCCTCTCCAGGCTGGGAATCAAGGACACCTCACTGCCTCCAAGAAATGGAAACAAAACTGATTTGGGGGGGAACAAACTCGGGGTAATTTCCTTCATTACCTGCAGCTGTAATTAGACAATTAACCCCCTGCAAGCAAAGGGACCAAACTTCCGAAAGGTCCAAAGTCCATTATTGGGGGTAGCCCCTTGAGTGGGGGCTTTGTCTGCCCTAGATGTACCCGAAGGGCCTTCAAGAAATAGAATCATTTTTATTTATTTGCTTTTTACCCCCCAAATTCTGGGCTCCGCTCACGGGAGCCCCAAAAGCTCCGCCCGGGCCGAGCGCGGCCTCCGCCGCCCCCTGGTGGCAGAGACGGGAACTGCAGCGCACGGCGGCGACAGCGGCCCCGGGACGGGACCGGGGACACGGGGACACGGGGACACAGGGACACGGGGACATGGGGACACGGGGACACAGGGACGCTGTGCCACCCCTGAGGGGACACCGGGACACGGGGACACCGGGACACTGAGGGACACTGTGCCATCCCTGAGGGGACACGGGGACATGGGGACATGGGAACACGGGGACACGGGGACATGGGGACACGGGAACACGGGGACATGGGGACACGGGGACATGGGGACACGGGGACATGGGGACACTGAGCGACACTGAGTGACACTGAGGGACACTGTGCCACCCCCGAGGGGACACGGGGAAACCAGAGAAGCCGGTGGTGGCAAAATGGATTGGGTAAGACATTGCTGGTCGGAATGCCGCGAGTTCCAGGCGCGGGGGAGAGAACGAGGTCAGGGTGAGATGCTGAGAGCCACGTCAGGAACAAATCCTGCACTGAAAAACCCAAAACTCGAAACTCCAGGCTCCTGATGTCAGTTTGCAGGAGGCGCTCGGCACTGTCACACCAGCCACACTTGCCTGTGGTGGCACCTTGAGGCTGGGAGGCATCCTGCGACGTTCGGGATGCCAGCAGGCAGCGGCCACTCGGGGCCAGCGGGCCCTGGGCACGAACGCCGGCCCTTTTCTGTGGTATTCCAATTTATTTAAATGATGCGCTCTGTCTCGCCCACAAATCTCCTCGCCCCGCCCACAACTCTCCTCGCCCCGCCCCACTCACGCGCGCAAAAATTCGCTTGGCAGAGCGCGGACTACGACTCCCGTGAGCCCCCGCGCGGCGGGCGGGGCGGCGCGCTGACCGGCCGCCAAGGGGCGGTGCCGCGCGCTGATTGGCTGCGGCCGAGGTTTGAACAGGCGCGCGGCGGGCCCCGCCCTCTGGCGGAAGGCGGCGGAGCAGCAGCGCGGCGTGAGCGTGGGGGGCGGCCCGGGGGGATTTGGGGCAATTTGGGGGTCCCGGGGGCTGCAGGTCTTTA